TAACCCCCAACAGAATGTCCCAATTACTATGTCCCTTCCAAGAGCCTTGTTTCTACTCAGGTATATTTCTGGATGTTTTATTATACCCCGGAATATTTTTCTCTCTCCAGTCTCTCCACCAGGTGGCCCCACTGCCTCCATTGCTGCTGCTGACTCTCCTAAGACTTGGCTTCCATTTGTCACAGCTGTCCTCAACTGGCGACCATGGCTGTGGCCACTGCTCTGGCCTCGAAGGATTCCTGAATGTTTATTTGTTTTTTTTCTCAGCACTGACCCGGCATAACCTGTATCCCATTTTTATTCCCTATTGTTCAGCAGATTGAAGTTATATATTTAATATACATAGTTTTACTAAAGATTCAGGTAAAACGAAGGTAAAGTGTAAACAGAAAAGAACTTACAAGGACTACTGGAGATCACTACTCTCAGAACCCATAGGCTAAGAAGCTTCTTCAGTAATTCTCATAAGGCCTTCTCCCCATCCATTTCCAATGCTGTCAGAATCAGATTAAAAGCAGGTAACTCCTAACCAGTGGGAATACTTTGACTATGCACAGTTCCTAGTCCAGAACAAAAGAATCACAAGATACAACAAGAAAACTTTTATTTGATTTACCTCAAGTGGGTGTAACACATACTCTTAGACCTTATTTTCTGTTTTATTTCCTTGTTTCCTGGAGGCCATATTAGATGGTAGGGAAAATGTGTATTTCTTTCAACCAAATCCCTTCTACCTGTCGCAGAAGCATATTCTAAGTTGATTTAAAGAAAATAATCACACTGGAATACAGAACTTAACATCTACAAATTCTGTATCACTCAGTTTTAAAAATAATGCCAGTTGTGAACATCAACAACCCAAACTGTGTATCACTATGCCAAGATTACATCAGTTCCATGGCAGTTTTCCATAGTGGCAGTTTTAGAAATTGCACATGAAACTACCAAAACAGTTACAATTCATACTAAGAAAGCTATACTTAATTTCCTAGTCTACAACATCTGCATTCAGGTAACTTCAGCCACCTCTAAGACTATTGCTTTTTGCATGCATAACTAAAAAGGTCTTGGTAATTTTGCTTACATCTTTGGAACAGCTTTTACTGGCTGCTGTATCCATGAAGAGCAGGTGGAGGGGGAGAATGATTAGTCTCAATGGGCAAATTTTACACTTGGGTATCCATTACATGATGTAGCTTCTAAACTTAACATCTTTAAGCTAATTTTCAAGACCATATAAAAGTTTTCTATCACATACTATCTATTTCTTTACATGCTGGTTAAAAATCATCTCCATAATCCAATATAGCTTACTGATTGCCACGTCACTTCTTCTGCCTGAAATCTAACCTTACAAGTTAGAAAAAAGAATATAAGTCTGTGTTCTCCACTTCCTTCAAAGCCAAGTGCAGCCAGTGTTTACTGGTTGTCTTCTCAGTGCAATTTCCCTTTTCCCCTTCCTATTAGTCTCTTCTTTTCATTTGAGATACAGAAGGCTCTGAGGAATTTACTTCTCTCTCCAAGTTAGGGATGGGGCATATGCACTCCATCCCCACTAGTTACAGTAATTCATTCAGAGAATCTCCTAGGATAACTCAGCCTCTGGAGAGTGGGAAGAGTGTTTGAAGTTTGGGATTCTGTAATCATTGTTGCCAGAAAAGAGGTGCCTGAATATGATGCCAACATACTAAGGGCAGCAGACACAAAAAGTTACAAACAAATGGAGCCAGATTCCTTGATGACGTTTTGTATCCCAGGATCCATTCTTTTCAGAAGCCAGAACTACCTTTGAACTTTCTTGTTCCAGGAGCCAATGAATTCCCTTTATTTTTGTATCCAGGTGGGACTTCTTATTTCTTGCAATGGAGATTATATTGTCTATTACTCATAGTGTAAACTTCATCTTCTTGGGGAAGGCTTTTATCCTTGAAGCCACCTGACTTTTCTCTCCTACTTATCTTTTCCTCTGCTGTTAAGTAGCAGTCTACTAGGGTAATCAGCAATAATCCACAGTAATATCAAATTAAAATACCAAAAATCGGTTTTAGTATTTAAAATGTTCCTAATTAGATTACAAGTTTCTAATGGCATAAAGAAAATCTCGTGCATTTTTTTTCTTTCAAGAACTATATACAAATATGGTTCTTAAAATTTTAATTCAGAAAATGTTGACAAATGTCAATAAATGAGGCAAACAGCAAAAGAAATAGAATTTCTTTTTACAGATGATGACCTAGTAACTGACATCTTGTGATTAATAGATATTTAACACATCTGAAAATCGCAGTGAAGAGGTATTGAATTTGCCTAGTCACTTGGTCATTTTCTTCTTTAATTGATCCTGAAATCAATTAAAGATTTCATGTTTGATAGAGTTTTTCCAACTGTATATTCAATTTAATTATTTTGCCTAAACATTTCAGTGACAACTTGCTCTAATATAGCATATGTAAAATGAAGATAAATACAGAATATCCTAGATAAGTACAAAAAATCAACTTTTAATTTAACATCCAGCCTCACAAATTGCAAATATAGAGAAAGATAATAGAAATGAAACACATGCAGTGCTCATAGAAAATTTTATATGCAATTTTCTATAACTGGTATCTCAACTGAAACAGCAAAAAAATACCTACTAGATTAGTTCAATATTTCACCAGCTTATTGCCTATATAGACAAAACACAAAGTGACTGAGAGTGCTGATCCATGAAACTAAAGTCCAGTGGTTACAGAGTGTTCTAATTCTCTTAATATTCCTTCTTGAATTTTTGCAATAATTGAATGGCTAGTTTGTCTAAATATAGTGGCATTTGTAACCTAGATCAGAAATCAAGTATGCTCAAGTTTTGGAAAAGCTAAAAATCATTTGTTCTGCAAACAATCAGATCTCTTTTAAAGACAAGGTTTTGTTCAGCCAAAATTTGAACAACTGCCCTTCAGATACTCTTTTTCTGGTCCCTGGCTTCCTGGCAGATTATTCTGCATCTCTGTGCCTTACTGGTTTGTTTTGTTTCAGCCTACTATGCTAATCTCTGTTACTAAAAAGTATGAAAACTTGAGTATAATAATTCTGGAGGCTCCTGAGTGTGTTTGTAAGGGATGACAGGATAGTCTAAAATTTGATTCCAGATATCATAAGCTGATAATTTTGCTGGTGATAAAACTATTCATTAAATAGTTACAGAGCAATGAATGTTTTTCATAAGGCATCATTTAGCTTTTCTTCAGAACTGCAAATCCTCATTACAGAGAATGAATGCAATTAATAGCTTAAAATTCATAGCAAGCTCTCAAATACTGGGATGAATTAATAGTTTAGATTTAGACACTTCTCTTTCTAGATTTTATGTTGAATTAAATCCCAAAGTAAGCCATTTTATTTTCCCAATTATCCTCAATTTAAAAAAATTATTTGAATACCTACATTGTGCCCTGTACTATGCAAGCTTTAGAGAAACAATGGTAATCAATGCAGGAGGTTTCTGTTCTCAGGGAGCTTACTGTCTAGCACATATTCATAGTTCATATATATAAGGAAAGTAATTTCAATGCGATTTGAGAAATGGCATGGGAAGGCTCAATGTGCTCTGGAAGTCCTTTAAAGGGGGTGAACATATTATTTCTGTTTGGTAGAATCACAAAAGATATGCCAGGAAAATAATGTCTAAATTAAAACTTCATGTTAGGTAGGATTCAGGTGGTTAGATTGAGGAGAGTGGCAGTGCTGAAAGATGCTGCCAGAAGAAAGAAGAGCATTTGTGAATGACTAAAGGGAGACCATTAAGCAATAATGATTTGATATTTATTAGTTTTGTGTTAACAAAACCAAATTGAGTGCACAGAAATACAAATGTGAATTTTCTAAGTTTTGAATTTTCAACATTCTTCTCAATAAGCTAGAGCATTCAGGGTCAGAGCAACAGAAAAACAAAATGAAGTGTTGGATGTGGGTGTCTCCCAATGTTGTATATATATGATAACTATTTGTATGGGTTCTTTGGGTTAATTGTTGTAATAATTTAATATCAACAAAAGGAAAATATTATAAATTCATTAACTTCCATTTGCCCATATCAAAGATTTAAATCCCATTATTTTCATGGGTCAGACTCAGATTAACCTAATCTTACTGTGTAGTACGTGTTCATTGGCAGTGAGCAGGCATTCAGGTAACAGGGAAATAGAAGAAAATTAATATGTAAGTGCCTGCTACATGCCACTGTGTTTTATATATGCAGCTTTATTCAATTTAAAAGAGGAAGGTTTTATTATTTGTATTATATGAGTGAGACTACTGAAGCTTGTGAAGTTATTACTTGTTTAATTAAACACAAAATTTGTCATCCAATATCTTAAAATATGAACACATTGGAGCAACAATGATGGATTTCAGTAGCTGATTTAATCCATTTGTTTTTCTGCTTTTACAATAAACCACATATTTGAAGTTCTTATGATAGAATCATTGGTTAGGAAGGTTCTTGTTCACATGTATATATTTTAGATTTGGGCTTGCACGTGACTTCAATATAAAATTGTGCAACTGTGTACAATGCCACAGCCTTATGTGTCACACTTAATAAAAGACCACAACCTGTGCATGCATTTGTATGTATTTATTTTATACATGTTCTCTACAAATCAAACAGCCAATTGTAAACCAACTGAACCCTCAGCCTGTGAGTTAATGACAACATCATACTTTATAATAGACTATGCTCTCATTGAAAATAATTTAACTTGTATAACTTCTATGTTTACGATTAAAATACAAGCTATTATAAAGTACTTTTTTCCTGAATGGCTAACAAGTTGATCCAACAGTATTTATTAAATATTTTATTCTTTCCTCTATCTCTCTTGAGAGGTCAATATTGTTAAGTTCTCTCTATACATGGTTCTATTGCATGTACTATTATTTTCACTAACCTGCTTGTTCTGTTGCATACTTTTAAACTATTAATGGTTTTGTTTTGCTTTGTTTTGTTTCTTGAGATGGAGTCTCAACCTGTCGTCCAGGCTGGAGTACAGTGGTGTGATCTCAGCTCACTGCAACCTCCACCTCCCTGGTTCAAGTGATTCTCCTGCCTCAGCCTGTCGAGTAGCGGAGATACAGGTGGCTAATTTTTATATTTTTAGTACAGATGGGGTTTCACCATGTTCGCCAGGCTGGCCTTGAACCTCAAGTGATCTGCCTGCTTTGGCCTCCCAAAATGCTGGAATTACTATACGTGACATAAAGTATTAATGTTAATACCTTTATTTTTCAAAGCTTCTTTAGTTATTCATCAAAATATTCTTCAGTTATTCCTTAATTATTTTTTTAAACATATAATCATTTTGTCAAGTTTTACTTTTAAATTTATATTTAAATTTTGGCTAAGTTTACAAGAAAATTTTAAACTGTTTAACTTCGGTGAAAAGAAAAATTAGGCAGAAATGGCCCAATTGATTAAGGATTTCCCCATGCAATATATTATGATTTTTATGCTTTTGAAAAAGAAAAACAGAAAATTATATTGCCTATGGAAATTTTAGGAAGTATAATGTTCTGGATCAAAATATATTATAAATCAATGACAAATTTTGCCAGGCAGTACAAATTAGCCAAGAAAAACATGGTTTGCATTATTGAACTATTGTCCTTAAGTAAATAAAAACAATTTAGTAAACACTTAGGCCTGTATTATCCATTCTCACATACCTGAGAGTGGATAATTTAGAAAGAGAAGAGGTTTAATTGACTCACAATTCAGCAGGCTGTAGAGGAAGCATGGCTGGGAGACCTCAGGAAACTTAACAATCATGGCAGAAGGTAAAGGAGAAGCCAGCACATTTTACCATGACAGAATAGGAGAGAGAGAGAGCCAAGGGGGAAGTGCCACATACCTTTAAACAGATCTCATGAGAACTCACTCACTATCATGAAAACAGAAAGGGGGAAATCTATCCCCATGATCCAATTACCTCCCACTAGGCCCCTTTCCCAATTTGACAGGAAATTTGATGGGGGACACAAATCCAAACCATGTTAAGACCATACTCCTCTGACAGATTGCAGTGAAAGATAAATCTTCCTTTTCTGGTGGAAGAAACTTGTGGGAAGTTTACTTATTCTCATGAGTATATTTTCCTTAAGTTCCTCATGTTAATTTTAGTGAGTAGGCATGCTTGGGCAAGGAAGAATTACAATAGGATTCTAGAAATTTGTTGCTCCAGTGAGGTTTTCTTAACACATAGATTAAACATAATTTTGTAAAAATTTAAACATTGTTTGGTAAAAATTATTATTTATTTTAATATAAGCGTTCTCAAGATTTCCTCCAAAGTATAATCCCAGTGATATCATGAATAAAACATGTTTATCAGATTTTCTAATTATTTATTGTTGGTATGTAAAAATGATCATTTTGTATATTGATTTTATAAAAGAACATTTCATATAACTCACTCATTAGGTCCAGCAGAATTTCAGAAATCAACAAGCAGAAAACAACAATCCCATTAAACAAAATGGACAAAGAATGTGGCAGACCTTTCTCAAAAGAACAGATACATGTGGCCAACAAGCATAAGAAAAAATGCTCAACATCACTAATCATCAGATAAATGCAAATCAAAACCACAGTGAGAGACCATCTCACACTAGTCTGATTAGCTATTACTAATAAGTTAAAAAATAACAGATGTTGGCAAGGTTGCAGATAAAAGGGAACATTTATATGTTGTTGGTGGGAATGTGCATTAGTTCAGCTACATAGAAAGCAGTCCGGAGACGTCTCAAAGAACTGAAAACAGATACCACAATTTCCATTACTGGTTATCCACCTAAAGGAATATAAATTGTTCTACCGTAAAGACAAATGCATACATATGTTCATTGCAATATTTTTTATCATAGCAGAGACATGGAATCAACCTAGATGCCCATTAATAGTAGACTAAATAAAGAAAATGTGTGATGTATACACCACGGCATTCTACACAGCCATAAAAAAGAATGAAATCATGTTCTTTGCAGCAACATGGATGCAGCTGGAGGCTATTATCCTAAGTGAATTAATGCAGGAAGAGAAAAACAAATACCTCATGTTCTTACTTATCAATATGAACTGAATATTGAGTACATATGGACACAACGAAGGAAACAATTGACACTTGGGCCTACATAAGTGTGGAAGGTGAGAGGAAGGTAAGGATGGATAAACAAGCTCTTGGGTAGTATGCTCACTACCTGGGTGATGAAATCACTTGTACACTATGCCCCAGTGACACACAATTTACCCATGTAACAAACCTACTCATGAACCCCTTGAACCTAAAACAAAAGTTGGAAGAAAAAAAAAGAATTTCAGTTGATTCTCTTGGGTTTCTCAGGTAGGTACTTATTATCTGCAAACCAAAAATGATTTTGACAATATTCATTTTAAAATCTATATATTTTAAAATTTTATTTTATACAATTAGCTATCTCTTCCAAAAATACTGAATAATAATGATAGTAATCAGCTTTGTCTCTAGTGTAGCACTTGCCAAAGTTATTTCAGCAAAATTTTAGTTTCATATTAATACAATATTATTATGTAGAAGAATATTCTATAATCATGCAAGTCTGGAAGAGCAAATCTCACTAGTGAAAAAAGGCCCAGGAGTTTTAATATGACAAGTGCTTATATTTAATCTCCTAGAGTCTAATTTATCCTCAAATTATTTGACCAGTTTAGATCATTAATTCATCCTAATTGAATTTATATTGTGAGAAAACGGGTACCAGTTGATTTTATTTTCAAATGATTACCTCTCATAAAATCATGTTTTTCTCTGTGGATTTGAGAAATTATTTGTAATATTTACATTTCTTGTTCAGCATATTTTACTTGTATTATAGGCATTTTGTTGCCTTTAACAAAGGCATTTTATTTCTACATGTATACTATAGATTTTCTGATTTTTGTTTCTTTTACTCAGGTTTTACACATTAATCCTTTGTCAAATGACTTTGTAATAACTCTTATTCATATTTCAGTGATCCTTTTAATTTAAACAATAGCCAAGATAAAATAGCCTTATGTACTTGATGTTGTTTTTTTTCTTTTTTTCTTTTTTTCCCTGCCTCCCCTACTACTAGTACAAATTTCCTTTTTAATAGTTTATGCTTGTTTAAAATATTTATGTGTTTAATTACTTTCAAATATCTCCTGAAAACATCACGTGGTCATATTCTTTAAAATGTTTGACTTTAACAATTATGTATTTCCATAAATAATTAATTTTATTCATATTTATTATAATTCATAGTTTATCTTATTTCAGTCAACTTTTTCCGAATAGACTACATTTTTTCTACTTTTGCATTCTCCTGTGTGTTAAATATAACATATTTTGTTTTTAATTTTACTGATGATTATTTGAAATAGTAAATAACATTTTAAAAGTGATTATCAGAATCAAGTGTTAATTGTATTTATTGAAAATTGCATTTTATATTTTTTCTTTTCTTTTTTTTGTCTACCACCTTGGAAGGCAAGAACATGCTTTTTCATTGATAAATTTCGCAAACTAAATCCTAAAATTTTTGCCTTTGCATCAATTTTTATTACATATATGTACATATTTTAAATTTTTAAAGAGTGTCTATGTATCTTGAAATGTAAGAATTACTTTATAGTCTAAATATTTCTGACTCAAACATAAATTACTACAACATATTTTTCAATTATAAAAAAGAGATAGAAGAAAATGAAACATTAAGAAACAAGTGTATATTCTGTCTTGATTTAATTGTGCTGTGTTTATAGAATTATTTTAGGTTACGTTATTAATAACAATTTCATAATGAATTTGTGTTCTCTCTCTTTATAGTTTTCACTTTTCCCTCTGTTGTCTTCCTTCTCATCTTCCTTTCCCCTTCTTTTCTTCTCCTCTTCTTTTTCCTCTTGGCACATCTTTTAATTTTTTCATCTTCAGCTCACCTTCTCTCACTCTCACCTACAATCTGAGACTATCCACACAGACATTGGCTGCTTAAAGACTTTTCTTAAATAAATCTATATGCAGAGGTAGCTATATTTCTAATTTAACCCTTTCGCTGCAACCACAAATCTTGATATTAGACCCCCTAGTACAAAGCAGGTATATGAGTGGTAGTAAGGGAATGGGAAGATGTTGCTTCATTCATGTGTCATCTCAGGACACAGTCCAATGTCCTGAGGTGGAAAGCAGCATGGCACTAGTCATAGCGCTTTATGGTGTTTCTGACTTTGCTAAAAATGTACTACCAGGACAGGAATGAGAATTTTTTATACACACCATTGAATCTCCAACACCTACTCTGTCTTAACACAATTATAAAGTTAAAATGTATAAGGAATCATCTAAATTAAAACAATGGTGAATATAACCAAAAACATTCAAATTATCCTAGGCAATAACTTGCTTTTCTAAAATTAAAACAAGGTAGATATAAAATGTATTGTCATTTTTTTAAAATGTGTTCCTTGTGATAATTCAAGTCTTCCTCCACTCTTGCTCTTCAAACTCTGTGACATCTTTATTCCAAAAGAACAGCAAGGTCTTCATTTGATGAAGATACATTATTTACATGCTGAGTTCACTACTTCTGTTCTTTTCTCATTAGCCAGTGACAACTGAACTAGTACTGCACTGTCTTTTTTCATGAGGTCAAATCAATGTTTTAATCCATTGAAAAACTTAAGAAACTAAAGTTTTTATGCTGTGAAAAATGTATTCTAATTGCAAATTTACTTAGCAAAAGGAATTATATGTTATAACAGATAAACTTATTCATCAATAATATACATTAAATTATTGTTCTCATCTTGACATTAAGACATGCCATCTTAATGGCAGCACAATAATAGTAAAGAGTATCATTTACGGTTATACTTGCCATTTACAAAATCATAAATATGCATACACATCCAGGAACTGAAATAATAATCCAGACTGTAATTACATTAATTTTCATTTTTATCAGCCAAATTTTTTAAAAACCCACAAAACATAAAATTCTTATAGAGTACTCCTGTACCATAAAACAGCATTTTCTAAAGGCAGTTTGGAAAACAGTGAATTATATCATGCTCAGGATTATAGGAGGGAGAGGCATAAATGATTTTGATGTGAGAATGAACTGGAGGTAGGCAGGTTATAGCTGAAATGTCAATGAATTTTGTTGAAATTTTGGCTCTCAGCTAGTTGATGAAGCAATGAGGACAACTGTTTCTCTGGACTTAACTTTGACCAAAAGAAAAAAATAGTTCATGAAATTCAAATGACAGGAACCTTGGGAGAAAGTCAAGTTGTCATCTTAGTGCTTGAAATAGCCAAGAAAGGAAACACTTGGCACAGTCTGACAGATACTTTGGGCTTTAGAAAAGCAGATTTCAAAAATTTCAGAGAGTAGATGTGAGTGATTCTACCACCTTAGATTTTTAAAAGAATTTGAGGTTTTGAAAAAGAAATTCTGATAAGAAAATTATAAATGACTTCAATGAAGTAGAAACAAGAGGAAAAAGTATATAAAAGAAACTACCACAGCTATGTATACACATTCCTGCAATGTAACAATGAGAAAGGAAAAAGATTCCTAAGTGTTTTTGTTTGTGTTTTGAGATGGAGTCTAGCTCTGTTACCCACACTGGAGTGTAGTGGTGCAATCTTGACTCACTGCAACCTGTGCCTCGCAGGTTCAAGCCATTCTTCTGCCTCAGTTTCCTATATAGTTAGGAATACAGTCATGCACCAACAAACCCGGCTAATTTTTGTATTTTTGGTAGAGGCAGGATTTCACCGTGTTGTCCAGGCTGGTCTCGAACTCCTAACCTCAATTGATTCACTGACCTCAACCTCCCAAAATGTTAAGATTATAGGTGCGAGCAAGATTCTTACATTTTGAACATCTTTTATGTGGAAACAAGATGCTTGGTTGTTCACATAGATGATGTTAAGACAGGTATTTCTATATTTATTTTATTGAAGAGAAAGCTGAGGCTAGGCTCAAGGAGATTAAGGAGCCTCCATAAATATTAAGTTCAGCATAGAGTTGTTAAGATAATTGAAGATAATAGAAATATATCACCCATGTTCAAGGGACCTTTTCAAAAAGATAATGAATTATAGTTTTTGAAACTGATCACTTCATATTAACCAAAATAGTAAGCAAGTATAGGTATTTAAGACTCAATTAATCTATAGTGAAAACTTACCTTCATATGACTACAGATAAATCAAGTTCAAAGAAAAGATATCTAGATGACTGTACCCATTATAAGAGGTAATTGTGTCAATGAATATATAATTTATAATCTAGTTTAGCAAAAGCATCCATTAAAATGCCCTGTCTTGGTCCCCTTCTCAGCAATGGGAAACTGACAAAAATCCTGAACCAATCAACTAACAACTAGCAACTAAGCAGATTCATTATCTATGTAATCTCAACTGAAAAACTCAGAAAGAATAGCTAGTGAGATGAAGATAAGCAATAGAAGAGTTATTTTCAGTTATGCAAAGATCAGCATTATAAGTCTAAGCTATTTGCACAGTGATGCCATGGAGGACTCATGACTATGAGTAGCCAAAGAATGCAAGCGTTCTGGGAACATAAAGATCATGAGGAATGCATATAAAGAAAAGTATAGGTAGGAAGCCAGACAACCCTACAAAGACAAAAAGCAGTTTCAGATACCAGCTTCCTATCCCAGGCCTCATGTGTAAGCTGTCTTGCGTTTCTTATCCTTGGATAGCTGAATGATGCACTGTAGGTGGTGTATACCTACTGGGCTGTCTGTACATTGTCTCTAGTTCTGGAAGTGGAATTCTCCACTCGGCACTCCACTTCCGTTTGAGAATAGGACAATCATATTCACACAACATTATTCCATTTCCTTGACATTGGTTAATCCAGGCATTGAAACCTCAGCCAAGTGAATCAAAAATCCATTCTGCATAGAATATGAAATAAGAGATTTCAGCTTATAGACTGAAATAAGCCTTTTCTGAAATAGTATGGTTGTAAATTTCAGAGTTATTCATATTAGTCATTATTTTCTATTTGAACTAGGAAACATATCAATTTTCTCTGTAGAAATAAATAAATACGGATAAGAAAAAAGGTGATGTGAAAAGGAAAAGAGAAACAACAGATTAAGAGAACTTACTGAGTTCCCTTCTAGTGTACTGATGTGTGGTTGATCTCTGAAATACAGTTCTATCCCTGCCTTTGGGTTCCATGAGGCAACTCCAATTTCTCATATAATTACAGCATCAATGTAAACAGTATGTGGCTAATCGTGGTGAATGAAAAGAGTGCTAGAAAATGGTAAACAGATCAATATTTTTCTGTTTCTCTCATGTAAAATGTAAATGGACATAACACAATTATATATCATGGAGCAATCCATAATTCCCAGCAAAATTCCAAGACATATAATTAAACAGAATGTCTCATGAACACCTAGAAAAGGAAGAAGCAATCACCAAGAGCCACTTTAAGTTCACTAAGAATAAATTATACCAAATTAATTAAATTATTTAGACATAGTGAATCTGCATTTCAATGAGGCACTTAATGCAGTGTTCCATTGGTGTCTTTGTGAACAAGATAGATGTTAAGAGGATTTTTGTAAATTATGTGGATATGTGTTAGTTGAACAATTGTCAAATGATGATGATTAAATGGCTCATTTTTGACTCTGCAGTGAGCCTTAATCACAACTTTAGTTTAAAAATAGATGTAGACATAGAAAAGATGTGCATCAATTTGGAGAGGTGGTCAAATACTGGATAACAGAATCGTGTTGGAAAAGCATCAGTTTTTTTATTATGAAGGTTGAAACAGTAGATCAATTTGAGCAAGAAGGAATTCTGCAAGACATATATAAAGTCTAATACCTTATTTAAAACTCAACCACAAATACAGAGATTGTGAAAAGAAATGCTCATGTCCTTGGTTTAATTAATAAGAGATTTAATATGAGCCAGCAAACATATATTGCATTTTCATAGACAAGTGATTAGCAATGGAGTCAATAATATCCCTGTATCTTGCATTGATAATACTTTATTTCTAGCACTGTGTCTGCTCCAAATATTAATATCAATTGGATCACTGATGGGATGTAGTGGTTCCAAAATTAACAGGAGGGTGAAAAACAGGACTCCTATATTTGTCATGGTTCTCCAGAGCAAAAGAATCAGTAGGGTGTGTGTGTGTGTGTGTGTTTCTGTGTGGGTGTCTATGTGTATGTGTGACTGTATGTGGGGTGTGTGTGTGTGTGTGTCAATTCTGAGAGAGAGAGAGAGAGGAGAGAGGGAGATTTGATGAAACTGACTCACACAATTATGGAGACTGGAAATCCGGAGAAGAGTTGATGTTGAAATTCAAGTCCAAAGGCAATCTGTTGGCAGAATTACCTCTTCCTTGGGAAAGGTCAGCCTTTTTCTTAAGGCCCTCAGCTGATTAAATAAGAGTTTCCCACATTATGAAGGGTAATCTCCTCTACTCAAAGTCTGCTAACTTAAATGTTAACCTTACCTAAAAATTGCCTTCACAGAAATATCTAGAATTATGTTTGATCAAATATCTGCCCACAGTGACTCAGACAAGATAACACATAGAACAAATGGTTAAGGAGAAGAGAGAGATTTAATTGTGAAAAAACAAAAGTTAGGGAAATAAATGACACCTTTTAAAAAATATTTCAAATTTTGAAATAAAGAAAAGATTAGACGTTGTTCCTGTAAATCTAATATGTTACCCTAAGATGCAGGGTGGAAATTACAAATGAATCCAGTGAATAATATCTTTAACATTTAAGCAATGCTATCTGATTGAGAAGATATACATATAACAAGAAATATGTGACAAGTTCTCAATTCTCAAGGAAATTTATAATTTAATTGCAAAGACAAAAATGCACACATGAAGTAAAACTAATTCATTCACTGAATAATATTCATTAATTATCTACCATGTATCAGCACTTTTCTATACATTAGCAATGCAATAGCAAATAGCAAAATTCTCCTGCCCTCATGAAGCTTGTGAATGATACAGAAAACAAATAAAATATGGATTTGTAACATACAGTGTGTTAAAAATGATAACTGCTAATAAAACAGGAGACTTTGGCTCCTGGCTAAAAACCTATGTGTGACTTCAGGTCCAACCACAGGAAATTATCAAGGCTTTATTTTCCAGATCTCATATGGGAAAGCTGTTGTACCCACAGCAGACTTGGTGCAGCCAGTGCGTTGCATCTCTGAAGGAAGTTCCAGTCAAAGTCTCGGGCCCCCTTGTCCAGCCATGCTTTATGCATACCCAAATTCCTAGCCCAGAAACCTTCATTTCAAGGCCTCTATGGAAGACTTCCTCCAGGTTCCTCTGTCTAAAACTCCTTATGGAGTGCAGAGATGAGGAGATTCAAATATCTTTCTTTTCACTCTGACTCAGTACCAATGCTCCTCAACTTAAAATGGTGCTATGTCTTGACAAACCCATTATTAGCAGAAAATATAAGTCAAGAATACTACAACTGGAAAATTCACTTAATGCCCCAATAAACCCATGTTAAAGTCAAAAAGTCATAAGTTGCACCAGCATAAGTCAAGGATCATCTGTACTCAATACGTTTCCTATACCTGGTCCTTTTCATTCCTTCTCCCCATAGCCTCCAAGTCCATTAAACTGCAGGAACCTTTTTTCTAGTCTTCCTCAGCAGTGAGACATCCTTTACATCTGTGCTCATCCTCATGACCTTCAACCTCTCTGCCTTTCCATGGGGGGAAATGGAAAGAAGTGGGGTGACAGGGGAGTCTACACTTGACCTAATTTATTCTTTCACTTATACTCCACCAGTAAGTGATAAAAGGTCTGATACTTTCTTTTTTTTTTTTTGTCCTGGTTGACTATTCTGAAAGCTGGTACCTGGTTCAGCAGATCTGGCATAGAGACAAAATAAAGCAAGAAAGGAAGACAGGTAGAGACAAAAGAGGTAGGGTTACCATAAGGTGGTCAGGGGCCTAAGAAGGTGATATGCAAGCAAAGATCTGAAGGAGGCGAAGGAGAAAGCCTTTGTTTGTCTAGGAAAGACACTGCAGGTGGGAGAACAGAAATAACAAAGGCCCTGAGGATGCAAGGCTTTCTAGGCACTGGGAAGATGTTGAATATCCAACACATAGGCTAGCAGAGTCCTGGTTTCCATGATTCTTCCAGTGTAGATGGAGAAGAAGATAGCTAGAAGACAGTGACAAGTGCTATGACAGAAGAAATGTATGTATGCTTTGGAGGCACAAAGCAGAGGTGCCCAATAATCATGGAGTCAGAATGAAATGACCAATCAAAAAAAAAAAGAATAAGAAACAAGAAAAGGTGTCATGAAGGATTCCATGATGGAAAAAGATGAGTCATCCGGTAGGGACGTTGTGCTGCACATCTCTAGGGGACCTCACTTATATCACAGTGTTAGACTCATGCAGCACACAGCTGTGAGGCCCTATATGACTGCCCTAAAATCAGAAGCTAAAATCAATATGCTGGCTTTAGGGAACCAACAACATTCAACAGCACTGAGAGATATACAAATGATTCAAAGTCTAAAAATATTTTAAACAAGAGATTTGTATGACAAAAATCTTTTTTTTTTTTTTTTTTTTTTGCCAATCAGTTGGAGCTTATGAGGTTGCTCAGGTTAGCCTTGAACTGATGACCTCACCTTTGCAAGCACCATGACCTCCCACGGGAGCCACTTTGGACCCCCGACAAAAAACTTTTATGATGGATTGGTGACTGTGGGGCAACAAGAAAAAACAGTTCTGATACTATGATCAAAGATGTATTTTCTCGGCTTAGGCGAGGTTCTCGAAAACAGGGTTGAACAAAAAGCAAATGAAGATAGGTAGAAGCAAAAAGTTCTGGGAGTTAATGGAATTAGACATGGATGAGATCAGTAAGGATGATCTCTATGTTTTGATTTGGACACCTGATACACTGGGGTGGTTCCACCCCAAAGCAAAAACAAAAGAGGACAGTTGGGTATTGTTCCCAAGATGAACTGAAGTTCCAGCAACACATTCAAGTAGAAAAGCAAACAGGATGAAATGTTAATGGATATTCCACAAAAGAAGCGTTTCCTGGTCAGATATATCTGAGAAATACTACATATTTTATCCTCTCATGAAGATCCATTCAGTTATTTATTAATTCAACCTACATTTTGTAGTTTCTGCTTTGTGCCATTTCAAACTGTGTTTTACTCTGGAATGTAGACGTGAATAAGAAAAATATGGTCCCTGCCTTCAAGAAGCTTACATATGGGGAATATGTGAACAAAATAAATAACTATTTAAACTATAATTGGGAAAATGTTGCGAATGAGTAGCAGAAGGTGCTAGGAGTGTGTAAAATGAGAATAATTTAGCATAACAAGCTCCTGTGTTATTCTCACATTGGTGTTTTCAAATCCTACTACTCTAGTGAACCCTATCAGAATTATTTAAATAAGAGTTTCCAAGCACTTTTAGATGTTTTTAAGCATGGAAGCCTTTTTATTTCCCCCGCAAAATATCTATTACTTGTAAAGAGCAAACCTTGGAATGTAGTTTGGGAAAATCTCAGAGAGGGGACAAGGGAAAATCTGGTAAGAAGTTGAGTCTTCATCATCAGCATGTAGTTTTCCCCTTCTGCAGAGAAAGACCAACAGGATCAAAGGTGTGGATTCAGGACACACAGGAGGCACAGGAAGGAGAGTGGCCCGATTAGAGCAGAGACAGACTGAGTTAAAGCAACTCTGGCCAACTGAGCACTAAAGAGAAACGACAGGATTACTTGGACTGAATCACTTGACCACCCAAATTGTGTCCGTTTTCTATTTCACATATTACAAATGACGATATTCATTTTCTCTTTTCTCCCTATCCTAGAGACACAGCAAGGCTGTCATAGCTGTGTTTAATGAATGAAAGAATGAGTGAACTCTGATCTCCTTGGTATGTGTAATGAATAAAATATTTTTTGTGTTAATAATGAAATACAGTTATTTAACATTTAACTGGCACAGATTGAGATTTCAGTTCTGATGTCCGGAACTGTACTTTGAGTCATCAAAAGACTTTAAATCAGTTGGATGTTCAGGCAGAATATATATGTATATATATGTATTTTTTTTTCTTTTTCAGTATGATTGTGAGTCAGGGATACTGGAGCTAGAAATATGGCCTGGGAGGACACAGGATTTAGTGTGCCTTCTCAAATCCTCTCCCTCTCCTTGTTTCTCTTGTCCTCCCAAATATATTCTATAAATTCTTGATCAAAATTTTTACAATTTATGTGCAAGCAGTTTTAGAAACTGAACATTCATGGGTTGATTAAATAAACTAGAGCAAATTGCTGCAATTAGGTAATATGCAATGATTAAATAAAAATGCCACATTTAATAGCATAAGAAGATGTTCCAAATATGTTGTAAGCAAAAAGAACAAATTAAGTTTAAGCTCCAACTTTTGTTTAAAAAAATTGCAACTGTGTAGTAAAGGATCCTACCTTCTGGGTAGTTTTCAAAAAACAGGATTTTTTTTTCATTTTTTTGTTCATATATGTTTTCAAATTTTCCTGTTAATAATTTAAATAAAAATATTGAACAATTAAGCATTTCAGAGGCATTTGGTAACATACATTTTTAGGAGCTACCTATGAGTTTTTATGACTAATAGTTATTGGGATTACAAGCAAATTTGAGGGTTTTTTTTTTTCATTTTTAGCTTTATATATCTAACAGCTTTTCTGACATTTGGCAAATATTCTGTTAAGTAATTATTCCACGCTTGCCTTTCTGAACACTCTACTCTTACTACTTCTTCCACAACTCACTAGCAAAGAACAAGCAGTGGTGGCAACCACTAGCCAGGTTCAAGTGGTCCTGGTAATTAAGTGTATCATGAATGTTCACTTGTAGGTTATGCATTTGGAAAGGAATGACCTTAGTGGAGGAAGTAGTGAAGAGGCTTGAGGATGTAGACCAGTTTATTTGTGAAATATCAGGCATGTTACACAGGCTGTTGAAAAGAGGGCTGATTAACTCAGCCTTTTGGATAACTAACTTGCCATTTTTTGCCAAATTATACTTTATTCTATGTAAAATAATAAAAGTGTGACCTTAAAGTGCCAAACTAATTTTCATGGGTCTATGAAGTCTAATATCTTTACAGTAACATTCCAAAAAATGTTTAATAAACACTGTCTATGTACCAGCGAGAGAGAGTGTATGTGTTTTGTTTGTGGTGAGGGATGAAACGAAGAATACATTTAGGAATAAAATTATTTCTGCTTTAGAAGTGCTTACAAAATAGGAAGGCAATCACAATGCAAGGTGGAATAAACTAATTTAACCCTTTGAGGATTGATGGGCTCTCAGTGATGGGGAAGAAAGTAAGAAAAACATACTCCACGTTAATTAGGACAAAAAGCATAATAAGTACGTACATGGATGTGCTGAGAAAACGGCCAAAAGGTAAGCTTAAAGAAAGATAGACATTCAAAGGTAGTCTGAACAATCATACAGAGATCAGTTATAGCAGCCTATGAATGTCATTTTAGGTAATTTTTACTGTATTTTGTAGTCCATAGGCAGTTGTCATTTTTTTCTTTGTTTAAAAAAAGTGATATGCACTCTGACCTATATTTTAAGTAGCTAATTCTAAACACTGTAAAAGGCAGAGTAATATAATGAAAGGCTGAAGACAGAGATACCAATTAGAAAACTCCAAGAATTTTCTGGGTATGAGATAATGTTACTGCCTACTGTACAGGAGAAAGAACAAAAATAAATTACAGACTGATGAAGAACTATGATGCAGTTAAAACAAATAGAATTAAGTAATTTAACAGTGCAAGGATGATGGTGATGAAAGCAGGATCACTCATGTTTCTTTTCATGAGTGACTGGAAAGATAAAGTATCCACTATACTGGATTGCATTCACTTTGGCTTTAAGATATGCAAATTATTGGGACTTAGGATTAAAATTTCAAGAAACATGTAAAGTTGCCAGTTATTGCCCAAAAGCCAGGGCATGATATTTCTGAAGATAAAAAATTCATTAAAAGTAAAAAGACCAAGACCAGAAAGGGAAAGATTTTACATGTAAGGATTAATCAAAAACCCCAGAAAACTGTGATATATAAGGGATGAGAAGAAAAGTAATAAACTCAATGGTGAAATTGACAAGGAGACACATTAAAACCAACAGTAGCAAAATATAGCCCATTTTTACTTCTTTGATCAGAGTTTAAGAAATAAGGTAAAACTAACTAAAGAACAATGTTAGAGAATCAATGGAACAAGAAAGTTAAAGAATGAAGAGTGTCCAATAACTGTCAAATACAGCAGAAAATTTGGGGAAGATAAGAACTGAGAATGACTAGAAATGGCAAAAAATACATTACTGATGACCTCTGATTCAGTAGTTTCAATAAAGTGTAGGAGACAGAGCCGTAAAGAAACATCTAAATGAGGCTGGGTGCAGTGGCTTATGCCTATAATCCCAGCACTTTGGGAGGCCAAGATGTGTGGATCATGAGGTCAAGAGATCGAGACCATCCTAGCCAACATGGTGAAACCCTGTCTCTACTAAAAATACAAAAATAAGCTGGGCATGGTGGCATGCAGCTGTAGTCCCAGCTACCTGGGAGGCTGAGACAGAGGAATCACTTGAACCTGGGAGGTGGAGGTTGCAGTAAGCCAAGATCATGCCACTGCACTCCAGCCTGGGCAACAGAGCAAGTCTCCACCTCAAAAAGAAAGAGGCCAGGCACGGTGGCTCACGCCTATAATCCCAGCACTTTGGGAGGCCGAGGCGGGTGGATCACGAGGTCAAGAGGTCGAGACCATCCTGGTCAACATGATGAAACCCCGTCTCTAATAAAAATACAAAAATTAGCTGGGCATGGTGGCAGGCGCCTGTAGTCCCGGCTACTTGGGAGGCTGAGGCAGGGGAATTGCTTGAACCCAGGAGGCGGAGGTTGCTGTGAGCCGAGATCGCGCCATTGCACTCCAGCCTGGTAACAAGAGTGAAACTCAAAGAAAGCAAGCAAGAAAGGAAGGGAAGGGGAGGGAAGGGAAGGGGAGGGGAGAGGAGGGGAGGGGAGGGGAGGGGAGGGGAGAAGAAAGAGAGAGAAAGAATGAATGAAAGAAAGAAAGAGAGAGAGAAAGAGAGAGAGAAAAAGAATGAATGAAAGAAAGAGAGAATAAATATATAAATGGATGGCAAATAAATGGAGACAGCAATGTAAAATAGTCATAAAACAGTCTTCCAAAAAATGTAGCAAATTTAAGAGAAGAGATGAGGTGAGGGAAGCAGGGCTTGGTAAAAGAGTTTTGTTTTATTTGTTTACATTTGAAATATGAGTGTTTGTTGACTTCAGAAAATCTGGGTGAATATAAAGAAAGATATTAATTGAATAATAAATTAAGGGACTAGAATTATGAAACTGAGAATAATAATGAATGCAATCAATAATAAGAATGAATTCAATTAAGGATAGAAGAACTTGCTTTGTAAACCAGGAGCACTTTTTCTTCAAAGACAGGACAACCTGAGTGGAAGTCAAGACACAAATCAGTTTATTAGAAGGGAGGGAAGTTAAGAGTGGTATGTTCACTTGTTTCTTTACTTCCAGAGGACAGGCCAGCCCTGTGGTTTAAGGTAATATATGGATTTAATGATTCTATAGCCTATTAGTGGTTCACATAAGAATTTCAAAACTTCAGAAAAGTTTTGATAGAATCCTATCTGACATAGCCGAACAGGTAAGGGTACAACTGACAGACTCATAGTTACAGACAAACCTCAAGAAGAACAATCACTGTCACTGCAACTGGGTTTTCTTAAGAAATATATTTACTTTAACACAATAAAATAAACCTGTTTTAGTGCCTGAAAAATCCAGCTTCTACACATGGTTTATTGAACTATACAACATTATACTACTGCTTTCATGTAAACCTAATTTTACATGATAGCTGCCTTAGAAAAAGATGCAATAAGTGACATGAGCAGCTTGGGTTAAAATTGCATAGTCTTTCATTCAGAACAGGGCACAACTGGCCAGACTGAGGTCATTATGGCTGAATTGAAGATCTAGCTCTGCCATTTAGGTGTGATCATAAGCAAGTTACAATCTTTTATGCCTCTTTTTCTTTAATGGCAACTATCTGATAGTTTTGTTGTGAGGATTAAATAGCTCGTGCATGTAAAATTCATAAAAATTACCATTGTTCTCCTCCAGTTGTGCTCCTCCTTTTCCACCTCCTCCTCTACTTTCTCCTTCCCTTCTTCCTTTCTTCCTTTTTCTCCTTCTTCTCCTCCTCCTCCTTTTTTTCCCACAACCCCATCTTCTTGCTCCTCTCCTCTTCTCCTCCTCTTCATTTCCTTATCTTTCTCTCCCTCTTTCAGATTCTTTCTTCCTTCACTATATTTCTTAATTCCTTTAACAAGGAATTATTTAATTCATTTATTGTGTCAAATACTATAATACTCTACGATGCCCAGGATTTACATTGAGGAACACAATATATATGATTCCTGGAGCAAATAAAAATATAAATAAATATAAGATTACAAATTGTGATAAGTTCATTGAAGAACACAGCATAGAACAAGAAAATGGACTGATACAAAGATTCCAAAGTGAAGGCAAGGGAAGGACTCTGAAGAACTAATGGTTAAGTAGAGATGTAAAAATCTTAAATTTGAAAACACAAATATTACTTGATTTTCCAAAAACTTAGATCCAAAATTTTATTTTAAGCAGTTAATATTTTAAGTGCATTACCTTACATTATGCTCCTATCAGAAATTCTGTAACTAAACGCAGAAAAATCTTTGCTTAAAGTTTAAGATTATTTCTATGATAAAACGTACTAAGCAACTAAAACATGGTAAGTTCCATTTTAAAGGTTAACAAAAAATTAACATAGCCCTTTAAATTAGTATTACATGTTTTAACCAGATGTAATCGAATTAGTTTTTGTGGAAGATACAATGGAAGCTACATTAGCCAAACATATAAACTTAAGAGAAAAAAAAAGACTCATGAGAAGGAAAAGGACAATTATAGTTAATTTGTACAATATCTGTCATGTAGATATTCCTGTAATGTCTGAAGTGTCAGGAAAAGGATTTTAACTCTCTATGCCAATATGTTTCGGTAGGGCTACTTATTATATAGTTAGTCCACAAGACCAGTGAAAACACGAATATTAAACCATTCAAAGTTTCAGGATTTAATTGGAGCACAGAAAATAAAAGAAAGTGGCCGGGCGCGGTGGCTCATGGCTGTAATACCAACACTTTGGGAGGCCGAGTGGGTGGATCACGAGGTCAAGAGATAGAGACCATGGTGAAACCCTGTCTCTACTAAAAAATACAAAAATTAGCTCGGCGTGGTGGTGTGTGCCTGTGGTCCCAGCTACTCAGCAGGAGAATTGCTTGAACCCAGGAGGCGGAGGTTGCAGCCAGCCACGATTGTGCCACTGCACTCCAGCCTGGCTCCTGCCGACAGAGCAAGACTCTGCCTAGTGGTCAAAATCAATAAATCAGTAGGACGTGAGTCATATATTTAAGTCAAGAGGGTTTATTTCCTGGTACTTCAATCACGTTGCCAAGAGGCAACAGATAGAAGAATAAAGAAATAGCCATGTTTTAGTCTTACAGATTAGAGCATAGAAGAACTTTAGGACCTGAATCCACATGGGTAGATGTATTCCTCCCTATAGCTTGAAATGTGAAAGTAAATGCCAAATCCATTGGCCTCACTTGTAGACTTAGGTAATATATATCATATTAGCTATATATAAAATCTCTTGAGAGTGAATTTGCCTTTACAACCCTTTTTATTTTGAATTATTTCTAACAACTAATATAATTTCATAGAAAAAATGGAATGGCAAGAGTTTTGGTAGTTATGTTAGAGTTAAGAGCTGAATTATCCACAGCAAAGAAAAATAAGCAGTAAATTCATCAATCACATATTCAGTTCAAGGATACGTTGAACTGAAGATTATGTCAATATTTGATTATGTCAATTATGTATGGTTGCCATATATAGTTTAAGCAACATATATATTAGTTGGAAGGAGAGTATATAAAAATACTCAATATACTTGGTTCCCTAAGTAAAAAGAAAAATACATATGAATTCCATGTACTGGGAAAATGCATCAAATATATTTAAAGACAGGCTTAAGTTTCTGTAATGAAGGTAGACATTAGCTGCAAAGTAGAAACAATTAGCTCAAATAATATATATGTCAAGTAGATGGACAGCAAATTTGCTACTTTTCATAGCTTGTGACCTTAGCTTGAATTCTGTGTTCATATGTGATGTGTACTTTTCTACATTACCACAATTAATCAGTTGATGATTGTCATAGGAAAGAATTTTAGAAGTTTTTACCTCTACTCACCATAGTTCCTTGTCCTTACTTATTTTAAAATTATAACATTGTTTCTTTGGGAAATTTTTAATTAAAATTCATAGCTTTAAATGACTTCTATGCATCCAATGAAAATTTTACTATAAGAAATTAAACTGGTTAGAGTTACTTTGGACTTATTCCATTTTAAACAACATTAAGGCAATAATTTTTGCTTTTGCTCAGTGACATGGAAATAATAGTCTAAAATATTTAATAAATTTAAACTTTCTTATATTGAATCTGATATAGACCATATAAAATCAGGAAGGACAAACAAGTTTTCAGGAAAACAAAACTAAATTCAGGATTATAACGTTTCTATGTTGAAATTTTGTTCGCAGTGATATTATACACATACTGACTTCTCTTTAAGGTGAACATCAATAAATTGATTGACCCAAAAGATAAATATTGATTTTGGCAAGCCCAAGTTCTACATTTATATCAGACAATTCTTCTTGATATTTCCTAGGATGCAAAGTCAATAAATAAATTGTTATATTTATATTCTGAATAATTTCTCAAGTCCACTGGAAAGTTAAATTTTTCAGTCCATTATGAAGAGGTGCTGATCAATTTATGTCCAGAGTCTGTGAATGCTTACTAAAAATGTTCAAATGGCATATCTCATATGTTGCACTAACATTTACTCACTTTAATAATCCCAAACATTATTTTAATTCAGGTTATATTTTTATACTTATCTTTCCATTTACTAGATTTATTTTTGTGTGTCTCCACTATCTTCAGGCTACAGGTGTACCCAACGTATATGGTCATTGCATTTAGCCCAGAGAAAAATAATAATTTAGTTATTAAATGAAGTATTCTGTTCTGACTGCTTACTGGTAGGTAAAGTAAGTACACAGATGTTTGAATAAATTGTTTTTATCTTAAATGAACAAAGGTTCCTTTCTCCACGAGGGATATTATATCGTTTTTTTTTTTTTTTTTATAACCTAGGTTTCTTGGCTTCAGTTTACTCTTAAGAGGCAGACAGCAGCACATGGTACATGTTCTTGAGCTTTAAACGGGAATCAAGGCATTTGCTTAAGAATAAATTCAGAATCTTGATAATGATAGTCTTAATCTCTAAACGAAAAGTTTATCACTATCAATGGCGAGTTAATGTAGATAGTTAACCTAATGTGCATTTTGAATACTGCCTCAAAATATTGTTATCTTTTTGTTTCCACATTGAATCTGTTTCCCATGGAAGGTTAACAAGGTATGATTTTTTGTTTCTCTACCTCCTAGGAGACTATGGTGGTATAATTTAGGATAAATGAAGCTATGATAAGTGTAGCACATCCTTCTGGAGTATCATTTTTACCAAATGGTGAGTGTATTAGTTTCCTAGGGCTACCATAACAAAGTACCACAGACCAGGTGGCATAAACAACAGAAATTCATGTCCTCACATTTCTAAAAGCTAAAAGTCCTAGATCAAGATGTTGGCAGTTTCTTCTGCGAGCCTCTTTCCTTGGCTAGGAGATAGTGGCCTTTTTCCAGTATCTCCACATGGTCTTTCCTCTGTATACCTATGTCCTAATTCCTTTTTTATTTTATTTTAGTTTAATTTAGTTTGAGACTGAGTCTGCTCAATTGCCCAGGCTGGAGTGCAGTGGCATGATCTCAGCTCACTGCAACCTCTGCCTTCCAGGTTCTAATGATTAATCTGCCTCAGCCTCCTGAGTAGCTGGGATTACAGGCACTTGCCATCAACATTATTGCATTTTTAGTAGAGACGAGGTTTCACATATTGGCCAGGCTGGTCTCGAATTCCTGGCCTCAAATGACCCACCTGCTTTGGCCTCCCAAAATACTGGGATTACAAGCATAACTGATATTGAATTACTGTCCACCTCAGTGATCTCATCTAAACTTAATTGTCTCTTTGTATTTATTTTATTTTATTTTGAATGGTGATTCCACTTTTTTAATAGTACTTTAGGTTCTGGGGTACATGTGCAAAACATGCAGAATTGTTGCACAGGTACATACATGGCAATATGGCTTGCTGCCTCCATCCCTCCATCACCTATATCTGGCATTTCTTCCCCTGTTATCCCTTCCCAACCTCCCCAATTCCTGCTGTCCCTCCCCTATTCCCCCACAACAGACCCCAGTGTGTGATGCTCCCCTCCCTGTGTCCATGTGTTCTCATTGTTCAACACATGCCTATGAGTGAGAACATGCAGTCTTTGATTTTCTGTTCTTGTGTCAGTTTGCTGAGAATGATGATTTCCACATTCATCTTTGTCCCTACAAAGGACATGAACTCATGGTTTTTTATGGCTGCATAGTATTCCATGGTGTATATGTACCATATTTTCCTTGTCCAGTCTATCATTGATGGGTATTTGGATTGGTTCCAGGTCTTTGCTATTGTAAAGAGTGCTGCAATAAACATACATGTGCATGTGTCTTTATAATAGAAAGATTTATAATTCCTTGGGTATATACCCAGGAATGGGATTGCTGTCTAATGGAATTTCTATTTCTAGTCCTTGAGGAATTGCCACACTGTCTTCCACAATGGTTGAACTAATTTACACTCCCACCAACAGTGTAAAAGTGTTCCTATTTCTCCACATCCTCTCCAGCATCTGTTGTCTCCAGATTTTTTAATGATTGCCATTCTAACTGGCATGAGATGGTATCTCAATGTGGTTTTGATTTGCATTTCTCTAATGACCAGGGATGACGAGCATTTTTTCATATGTTTGTTGGCCTCATATGTGTCTTCTTTTGAAAAGTGTCTGTTCATAGCTTTTGCCTACTTTTAAATGTTTTTTTTTTTTTTTTTTTTTTTTTTTTTAAATCTGTGGTTCTTTGTAGATTCTGGATATTAGCTCTTTGTCAGATGGGTAGATTACAAAAATTTTTTCCCATTCTGTTGATTACCAGCTCACTCTAATGTTTCTTTTGCTGGGCAGAAGCTCTGGAGTTTAATTAGGTCCTATTTGTCTATTTTGGCTTTTGTTGCCAATGCTTTTAGTGTTTTCGTCATGAAGTTCTTGCCTATGCCTATGTCCTGAATGGTTTTACCTAGGTTTTCTTCTAGGGTTTTTATGGTGTTAAGTCTTATGTTTAAGTCTTTAATCCATCTAGAGTTAATTTTAGTGTAAGGTGTCAGGAAGGAGTCCAGTTTCTGCTTTCTGCACATGGCTAGCTAAAGACCTTTTCTCCAAATACAGTCACAGTCTGAGGTCCTGTGGGTTAGGACTTCATCATACTAATGGGGGTGTGGGACATAAAGAATAATTGCTTTTATTTAAAATTGGCATGAAAATATTATGAACAGAAAGAAATTTTACATGATTTGAAGATATACAAGTGACTCTAGAATGTACTTCTCTGTAATTCTTCAGATCGTGCTGCTAAAGCTGCAGAGTACAGGGTTCTCTGCTCGGAGGATGTTTTGGTAAAGCACTAGTAATGGAAAAATAATGAGATTTCAAATTTAAAATTCTGTCCTCAGGTCCTGACTTTACCACTGCTCACCTCATAATGTGGCAAATTACGTGTGATGTCTATACCTCAGTTTTCCCTCTTAAAAATATAAATAATAACAATCTTTAGTTCATAGATGTAGTACAATTCAATAATAATATAAAAATAATGAAGGCTGGGCACAGTGGCTCACGCCTATAATCCCAGCACTTTGGGAGGCCGAGGTGGGTGGATCATGAGGTCAAGAGATCGAGACCATCCTGGTCAACAAGGTGAAACCCCATCTCTACTAAAAATACAAAAATTAGCTGGGCATGGTGGTGCGCACCTGTAGTCCCAGCTACTTGGGAGGCTTAGGCAGGAGAATTGCTTGAACCCAGGAGGCGGAGCTTGCAGTGAGCCGAGATTGCACCATTGCACTCCAGCCTGGGTAACAAGAGCAAAACTCCATCTCAAAATAATAATAATAATAATAATGAACATATTTAATTACTTGTATAATCATTAGATTTCATTTCAAGGAAAGTTCTCTATGTCTTGGTTTGAAAATAAAATATTGAGGATGAACATGATGGCTCACGGCTGTAATCCTAACATTTTGGGAGGCTGCAGTGGGTGGATCAGGAGGTCAGAAGTTTGAGACAGACTGGACAATATGGTGAAACCCTGTCTCCACTAAAAATACAAAAATTAGCCAGGCGTGGTGGCACACACCTGTAAACTCTGCTACTCAGGAGGCTGAAGCAGGAAAATCACTTGAACCTGGGAGGTGGAGGTTGCAATGAGCTGAGATCATGCTACTGCACTCCAGCCTGGGCGACAGAGCAAGACTCACGCTAAAAAAAAAAAAAAAGAAAAAAAAAAAAAAGAAAGAAAGAAAGAAGAAAGAAAGAAAGAACATTTTGAAATATGACCTTCGCCTAACAGACAACAAGAGAACACTTGCTAAGATAGTAAAAAAAGTAGGCATACACAGGAACATTGAAAGATTCTTGTTTCAGGTCTATTTCATCATATAAATGTTAAACATTATAAAAAGATATTCGAATATGAAAATGGACACAATAGAGAATCAAAACCCATAAAACCCATTACATTATTTTAGAGAATTTCATGTCATCCTTGCTTTTAATTTTCTACAAATATACATGTAGATATAGATACATATACATATACATTTTATGCAAGCATATGTGCAGATAGATAGATAGATAGATAGATAGATAGATAGATAGATAGATAGGTAGATAGATGATGACAGAAGCTTCGGAGCCCCTATGATCAATTTGCTGTTTCACAGTAACAAGGGTAAGGATAAAAAGGCTAATGTGAATTAAACATTTACTGAGTTAATACACAGAAAACCCTTAGAAAAGTGATTGTCACTCAGTGATTAATGAATTGAATGTTTGTCATTACTAGTATCAGTCACTATGCCAACCACTTTACATATGCTAGTCCACTTTATTCTCACAATAACCTTATGGGACAGGCACTGTTGTTATCTGCATTTTACAGGTACACTCACCTGGCAAATGACAGAGCCATGTTTCAAAACAAGACATTTACAATTTCAGGACTCAAATTCTTAAGACTATGCTATATTCCCTCTCCCATATTTCAACATTGGAGCTGATATGCTCAGTAAACTTTCCCCCACTAAGTTTCAAATTACTTCTGCTTTCAATGATGCTTCTCTATTCCCACCTAATTTACTTAGGTGACTATTCCAAAAGGTCACTTCCAGAATATATTAAATTGTGCCAGCACAAAGGAAATCCTGCACCTATTCTTCCTCTCCTATCTATTCTATTCTGGTTTGAATTTTTAAAAACATTGTGTTTTTCAGGGAGAAATATCCTTATATTTACAAATGTAACCAAGCATGATTGTCTTCGCTTATCAAAATGGTACAACTCCGATTAGAAAAAAACAGAAAAGCCAAACAGGGGAAAAGATGTCTATCACAGATCTATAGCTCTGGAAGCAATAATACAAATGAGAGCTCAGATGAGGGATGACTTATAGCATTTTCCTAGCTCCCAATTCAGCATGTTTTCCACAATAACAAGGTACTTAGAGAACATGAATAACTATACAGAACAAATGTGTCTTTGACAGGGCTCAAAAATCTGAAAAAATATTTTTAAAGTTGATTAATTATTGTTTATATAACCAATATGGTGTCATGAATTTTGAATTCTATCCATGTTCAATATTTATTTATCTTTTTTCTGATTACTTATATTGCCTACTCATACTTCAGTATGCATAAACATTTCTGAATCTTAAGTGTAAAGAGCATACAACAGATTCCCTGAATCTTTCTTGAGAAGACATTAATGAAAAATAGTATATAACTTTAACACAATTTGTCACTCTTCACCCCAACCCCTCTCTGGAAGATTCCCATGAGAAAGCTGTCTTGCCACATTTTTATATTTTTGGTTTAATCTTCTCACCTAACCTTTTGAGAACTTAATTAAGTACTTTGAAAGATACTAGCATATACTTCATAGAAATTGACTTTTCCATTAAAAGTTACCAAAACAAATGGATAAGAGCTAGCATAGTTGTAAAGAAAGACAAAGTGAAGATGTCAGCTAAAGGCAGATAAAAGATAGAAAGAAAATAACTGTGTCATCAAAAAGATAATGAAGTTTAAAATAAATAAAAAGGATGAGACATTCTGTAGGACATATAAAACAGTTTAATTAGAGCCAATAAGAAAGATAGAAACTTTGGTGAAGGAAATGTCACTAATTAGATATTGTTAAAACTGAAATGAACATTTTTTATGATTTTATGTGCTAACAAATAAAAAATGTACTTAAACAAGCTATATCTGGTGTTTCCACAGATCAGGGTACAGACTGTGTGACATTATCTCTATAGGAACACAACCTAATCATGTGGCACTATGACACCATGAGGCAATGTGAAAATGCATTTTGGAAAAGATATTGAATTTGTATGCCATAGACAAAAGGAAGCAAATGCATTTTTGAATCATTGGAAAGGATGAAACTGCTAGGACATATGCTTTTGAAAGGAACTCACAAGAAAACACAGAAACAATTTTATCCCGACCACGACAATGTAAGATTAATCTTATTATCAGCAGAAATTAAAAATAACAATGTCATAAATATATTATCTTTTCAAAATATTATCTTATAATATCAAATATGTGCAATAACCCGTAATGGTGAGATATGATATCAGAATCTGTTGTACAAAGGTAAAAATGTTGCCAGTATTTAGTGTGGTAAAGGATGTGAGGAAACAGCTGCTTTAAGACAGAGTTGCGGTATGCAAAATACTACCACCTTTGTGGAAAACATGACATCTTGAGTCAAAAAAGTACACTTTGTCCCAGCAATTCTGTTCCTAAAAGTTTATTCAAAGTAGAGATTACAATAAGGATGTCAAGATACATTCATCCTTATTCATGCTATTGCCTGCATCACTGTTTGTAAATGTGTGTGTGTCTGTGTGTGTGTCTGTGTGTGTGTGTGTGTGTGTGGGGGGGGGTGTCCACGGGTGGTAGAATTTTGCTTTATTTTTCTGTCTTTCTTATTATATCTTTTAGTATTATTTGCATTTTCTATCATGAGAATATATTTACCTTTCTAAACAGATAAACTAAAAAAGAAGAAGAAAAAAAGAAAAGGAAACCAGAGACTGTATTCAGTACATGGAATAAAGAAGCAAAGATATGAAATGACCCACTCTAAGTCTCACATTAGTTACCAACAGAACTAGTACTAAAGCAAATGTTACCATTGCTGCCACAACCAAGGGATGAAAGAAAGGATTGGATTTGTCTCCCATTTATATGCAGGATTACACTGAGCTAGTAACACTCTTTCATTTAAAGAACAGCTAAGAAAAACCAGTTGAAAAACAGTAAAGTAACCATGACATAAATCCTAAAGATCTTTACTAATCCAACTTTGCCTTTTTGTATGATGATTAGCGAGTTCAGTCTTTGTACCTATTATGTTAGCAAAACCCCATATAGCCAATTGTCAGCAAAGGAACCTCAAATAATGTAATATACTGTGTGTTTTCAATAAAAAGAAAAACTGTAGGACACCAGAATTTATAATTCATTCAGGAAGAGATTTTTGTTTCATCTTGTCCATTTTAAAAATAAGGAAACCGAAGTTCAAGATTAATTTGCTCAAGCTGTCAATGAAAGACAGCACCTGTTAAATTCTAATTGAAGTATTTTAGCATTAAAAGGAGTATAGAAAGCTTTATGTCTACCAGTTAGGCATTTCATTCAATTATAAATATTTATTTGGCATCTGAAGCAGGAACTTAGCATGTTTTAGCAGCCTGCTAAGTTCCTGCTTCAGACACCAAATAAATATTGTTTATCGATGTCACTCTTTTCCTTTTATAGACCATCCCTTCTCATCTTAAAACGTTTATCTACCTCCATATCTGCATTACAGAACACAAATGATCTAACTTATTGTCTGAGTTCCAAAGGCAAACACTGAATTCTAAAAGAAAATAGTATATTAGTGTCATCTTTCCTCCAAGACTTTTACCTGTAAGAAGTTAGATGCTCATGGGATGCAAGCCAAAAGAATATGACAATCACCTATATTAATGAGTTGAAACTTATAACCAAATAAAACAAATTTAACTAAAACTAAAATAAAGTACGAATAATACTGCCTTATATTTAGTCATAATTGTGACAGGAGGAGTGTTAAAAACAAATCTTTGTCTTCTCAGCTTTTCTCTGTTGGTAGCCCAGTTACTCTAATCTTACCCAGATGTCACGGGATTTAACTCTCATCTAGTGGGCTCAGTGACAGTGGTGCCAATGTTAGAGATTTTTTTTTTTCCTACCAGGGTTGCGCCTCAGTTGGACATTAAGGCTAAAGAAGCAGAGAGTCAGGCTAATGGTGATCTCAGGAGGAAAAAGACCAAATAGATTGAGAAAAAGAAATCATTTGTTGTTTATCCATTAAAGTAGATAAGACTTAACAGTCCTTCAAGAAATCCTTGAACTAGAGAACTGCTGCAACATGGTCTTCCAATTTTTCTAGATATTCCTTGAAGTGAGTAAGCCTCTTGAATCATGTATGAATCATAATGAGATGCTATAACAAAATACCATAGGCCGAGTGGCTTGAGCAACTTTTCACAGTCCTGGAGGCTGGGAAGTCCAAATCAAGGTGACTGAAGGTTCAGTTCCTGGTGAGGAAAAGTAGAGAACAGTTACTCCTCTGGATGGGAGAGGACTAAGGAGGCAACCAGTGCTTACTTTCAAAGAAAACATTACCTATGAATGAAATCATCACATGGTATAATTCAGAGAAAACAGGAAGCCTTCCCACCTCCCAGTGTTTCCCTCATACAAATTTAAATAATCATTAAGTTGAAATATAATTCTAGGATAGATTAAGGAGGTGATATATAGAGAGGTTACCGTACATGTGAGACTAAACTCTGATTTTTATCTTGCCCAAATTCCTATCTAAGAGGCCTGGGGAATCATGCCGTACAAATCATAAACTCATATCAGATGGGTTTTATTTAACCCTGTATATTGTAACTTACTTTCCAACCTAACCTGTCATAACATTACGAGACAAGGAAGAAAATAAAAATATTTAACCCAAAAACGTTTCTTTGCCATATTTGGAAATGGCCCTGCGAAGCTGTTCTTTGTGGGGGAAAGTTTGCATCTGTGAAGAATCTCTATTAACATACCTAGATCTCTTTCTTCCAGACCCTCCCAATCCTAAAGAGTGTTAACTAAGATCTGAATAATCAGTATTTGTCATCTATTGTCTCTAAGGGTAGCCACTCTAAGACTTCAAGGAACTTTGGCCTCCACGGTCCTTTATCTTAACCTGAGCATTCCCTTTTTATTGTTCCCAGGTCTTCAAACAAGCTCAACCAAGTCATCCGGAAGATGTTTAAATTCACCTATTGCCTGGAAGTCCCATTTCAAGTTGTCCTGCCTTCTAAACCAAACAAATGTATTCCTTAAATGTATTTGATTGATGTCTCATGCATCTCTAAAATGTATAAAACCAAGCTGCACCCCGACCACCTTGGGCACATGTTCTCAGGACTTTTTGTCACAAGCCATGCTCTCTCATATCTGGCTCAGAGTAAATCCCTTCAAATATGTTACAGAGTTTGACTCTTTTTCATTGACACCTGTCAACATAGTTTAACAGCCAGAGCTGGGCTCCAAGCTCGGCCTGACTCCAAGCCTGCTTTTGAGCACAAACCCTGTATATTCCTTTCTAATATTTGGGGAGACTTCACTGAGAGAATTTTGATGAAAAGTACTGAGGAAAGAAAAGATAATTTTGAATTGGAGACACTACAGAGAAACAAGGGCATACATATAGGGCACTGGACAGCTAAAGGAACCAAGAAAGCATTTATGAGAAGAGAAAAATTGCAGATGTCCAGAAAAGAATAGTAAAAAAAGAGAGAACCCTGGGTGAAAAGGTTTAGATTCTACTGACCAGCCGGGCCCTCTTCCTATTTTAAATGAAGCACAGAGCTCAAATACTTGTCAAGAACTCAGGACTCAGTAACTTTGACCTGCATTATGGTGCACAAAACCAGCAATAGAGAGACAAGGAGGAACTGGACTGGGAATCAGGAGATCTCAACATGATTTGGTGACTTGGGGAGGTCACCTTGTCTCTCTGAGGCCTCATCCCCATGTTGTACTCTCTCAGGAAGAATTTTTCAACCATGACACTATTTACACTTGGAACCATATCATTCTTTGCCAAAGTGGCTCCTATGCATTGCAGGGTATTTGGCAGCATCCCTGGCCTCAACCCCTTCAGTCATGATGAGCTAAAATGTCTTCAAACACTGTCATATGCCCCATGGAGGGCAAAAATCTCCCCCAATTGAGAACCACTCTTCTGTTATCTGTAAATCTTAAATTATGTAATTTTACTTTTTTAATATGTCAAAGTAACACATAAAGAAGCTGTAAAGGGCACAGTGTTTGAAGTCCGAGTTTTGGAGGTGAAATCTCTCTTTATCACTGAGGAATTACTTTGGGTACCTTAATTCATTTATGAAATGAGACTGGTAATGCCTGCTTTATACTGTTTATGAAGGGATTAAGCTATGTGATGTGTCAAGAACAGCATCTTTCTCATGGCATGCAATGTTTGGTGTACATAGAAGATCCTTTGATTTGCTTCCCTACAGCTGGTTCTTTGGGAATACATAGAAGACACTTTTAATTAATGTTAAATCTGAGTATATATATATATATACACACGCACACACACACACACACACACCATTAGTGGTATCTAGATTGTAAGCACTGCAAAACAGGAACTGGATTTATGCATTCATCTCTACATCTCCAAACCCTCAGCATAAGACCTGGCATACAGTGGGCATTCAATAAACAGATGCTGATTAATGGATCAAATGACGGAAGAATGATGTCACACACTGATAATTAAGTGGTCTGCTTAAGATTCCAAAATGCCTAAAAGTGGGTAAAGACTTATGTCATTTCTGATGCTATTTTTTATGCCAAAAGATAGAGAAATTATATGTTAAAAATATGATTACCATATGCTTGAGAATTTTATAGAATAGCATTACTTTGATATAAGAAGTATAAAACACAAATGACTCTATAGCCACATTTCTTGCAACACTGGGAAATCAATAGAAACAAACAATAATCTGTCTGCATCTGCAATCTGTGTCCCATTCTCCACTGACAACACTGGATGCTTAAGCTTCAGTGGAGCTGTTCTAACTCTATCAAACTGTTCTACAAAGGAAAATGGAAAAGCTGAGAAAAGAAACTTATGGAATATAATTCTCCCAGCAATAAGGATTTTTATTGTCAATCTAAAAACAGCTGACACTGCCTGAAAGTGGGACCATAAAAATAAAATATAGCATACACCCTCCATTTGCCTACACTTGAAGGAAATGAGAAGTTCTCACAATTGTTATGGCAACTAACATTACTACATTTGGTAGTTTTTAACAAAGGAAAAGGGGAGATAAAATCTGCTGAGCCTTAAGAGACCTCCTTGCTTTTCATGTTGAAACACTTTAATTCAAGGACTTATACATGACAAATAGATCTTCCTAATAAAAATGTAGTTTATCTTCTTCATATTTCTTATTTGAGTATCATTTTTAGCTACTTATAGGACAAGAAAAGCAACTCTTTCCCTAAGATTGTTAGATTCATTTTATTTTCTACTTTCAGAACTAAAACTTTGATTTCCTCTCCTCTTGGTCCCCCCATATATTTGCAATATTTACCCATTTTCCCAAGATTTCTACTCTTCCTCCTGCTGAAAGGAACCTTTCTTCCTATTTCCCTGAAAAATACAATCTGCCAGGAATTAAGTGCCTCAACTTGCTTCTTAAAAATGTATTTTCATGTGTTCTCATTGTTCAACTCCCACTTATAAGTAAGAACATGCAATCTTGGTTTTCTGAAACTGGTGATCAGCAGCTTCCCAATAAAAGCTCCACAGTTAGGCCAGTGGACTCAAGCATGCACACTAAGAGGCAAAATCATGGAGTTTAAATGGTGTTTCAACTTCCTCTAGGGACACTCAGCTAGTGAAGGAAAAATGCCTCAAGTTGAGCATGTGCACAACTTCAGTAAGCATACTGAGCACGCAGCCCCTACGAAGTGCTGGCAGGCCACCGTGCATGTGGATAGAAATTTACACACACAGAGACACCATGAGTGTAGATGCACAGAAAAAAGGCCACATGAAGACAGAACAAGAAGGTGACCATCTTCTAGCCAATGACAGGGTCCTCAGAATAAAATCAAACCTGCCAAGACCTTGATCTTGGACTTCTGACCTCTGAAGCTGTGAGAAATTTCTGTTGTAGTCTGTGGTATTTAGTCATGGCAGCTCTAGCAAACTGACACAGTGCTTAATATATCTTTATCTTTTTTTTTTTTTTTGGCATTAGACCAGATAAAGGTTAAGTTCCTATTGAAGTCTGGTTTTAATTCTATATTATGAAACAGAATCATAGGATATTAAAACTAGAAATATTTTAGGGATCATTTAGTAGAGTTGGGTTTTCTGTTTTCATTGTCACAAAGGTCACTAGATTCATTTCTAAAATTTATGAAAGCCAGAGTCCTTTCACTGACATTATGAATATGAACACATTGACATATATTTATGCATATATATTATTTCATTGTGAACTGACTTTTTCACTTAAACAATTTTTTTTTTTACTTTATGAATAAATAAGTCTCATTTTTCAGGCAAAAACTAATGACAACTTCCTGAAATAAAATGGAAAGAAATTGCACCATGGAAATAAAAAGAAAAATAATTCTCCTCAATATGAAATTTCAAAGATGCTGTTTAAAAAGTTTTAGTTTTCTTTGACATGGCAACAGAGAATGTATCTTGGATGCCTGACGGATTTCTGACTTTACTGTTGCTTGGCAGCAGGAAATAGTCAAAAATTTAGCTCCCCGAGTAAGATGACACTGCTGTATTATACAGAATTAAAATTACCATTACCATTTTGCCACCCAAATATATAATTGTATGAAAAAACAAACAAACAACACATTCTCCAGGACCCATCTGATAAATTCTAGTCACATCATTTTCCCCAGTCAGTAAGGTCACCTTTGGCAAGTACTGTATCACTGATCCTGTCTATTTCAATTTGAAAATAAAATAAATCTGTATTTCAAAGTTAAGGTCATCAGAGCAGTGGTAACTTCCAAACACGTTTTTTTAGTATTTTGATATATCCAAAGATTTCTGCCAGTGGATAAATGACTAAACAGTCACTCTCAACCTCAGGCTCTAGAAGAACTTCTGGAATTGAAAAGCCTATATGTTCTTCAGCTGCTATCCTTCTCTTGCAGAATAAATAGGGTCAAAAGAATGTCTTGTTTTTAAAAGCATTTATAGGCAAATGGCAGGACCTTAAATCACAAAATAATACCTTATTCATTGGACCAAAATATCTACCAAGTAAGCCACTCATAAACATACTTCTCCCTCTGAGGTCCTTCTGTGAATGAACTTTCTCATTCTCTCAAAAGTGAAACTTTTACTTAAAATTGAACCAAGCACTTAAAAAGGTGGCAAACTTCCTGGGACTCAAAAAAAAAAGTATATATTTTTTGTTATGCTTGAATTTGTGACGAAAATTCTTAAAAAGAAAATGATTGAAAAGCCTGGCTTGGAGGAAATTGTTATCCTTCATAACAGTAAACAATGCTCTTCAAAACTGCTGGCTGGATCTATGACACTGGTGTATCTCCATTATCAAATGGGTAGTCAAAACTGTTTATGCCTCACTAGGGCAAAATTATCTTAGGGCTTTGTTCTTTTTTCTTTTTTTTTTGTGGGGTTTTCAATTGTTTGTTTTGTTTTTGTTTTTCAGACAGAGTCTCACTCTATTACCTAGGCTGAAGTGCAGTAGCGCAATCTCAGCTCACTGCAACCTTCGCCTTTCAGGTTCAAGTGTTCTCCTGCCTCAGCCTTCTGAGTAGCTGGGATTACAGGCATGTGCCACCATGCCTGGCTAATTTTTGCATTTTTAGTAAAGACGGGGTTTCTCATGTTTGACAGGCTGGTCTTGAACTCCTGGCTTCAAGTGATCCACCCACCTGGACCTCCCAATCTGCTGGGATTAGGTGTGAGCTCCCACACCAGGCATTGTAGGGTTTCAGTTTGGTTGGTTTGGTTTTTGTTTTTCCCTAAACAAAACTTTACTCAGTAAAAAATGCTTTCACCATTTTGGAAGTATTTATGGCCACTGATATTTCTAAAATGGACCCACATGTTATAACATTCTTTTGACAGTTTTGGTATGCATGGAAATCAGGAAAACTGAGGTTTGACAGTACAGAAAAGTAATAGTAGTGTCACCTAATTGTATGCAAGAAGTATACATAGTTGACAAAATGACAAAATTCTACTTCAGGATATTAGCAGAAATATTAGCAATTCTGATATGTGTAATGTACTTTGCGAAATGCATAGTTTCCATTTTATTCTGTGACTACAATCACAAACTAGTGAAATACTTTCCAGAGAATAAGACTGTACAAAGTATTTATAATTTTATGTGGCCATACATATATACGTATGTGCTTTAAAAAACTATGTAAAGCCACAAATCTCATCCCAATATAAAAGAATCATCAGGAAAGCAAGCACATCACTTGTGCTCATTAACCATCTCTTCTCAATCATCATTCAGTATCGGCCATTGTTCCCTCACTGGCTCAGGCTCCTTGCAGTGAGCAGCAGCAATGGTGTGAAACTGTTGTTTATACCTATCCACATTATTTTGCCATTGTCTACACTGTGTGTGAAGGCTGACAGCATGTACCAAGGTGTCCCTTTCCAAGCCCAAGAGAACAGATATCTGCATCAGTGGAGATTTTCTGCTGCTGCCAAAGTTTCTGGAGCTACTTATTACAGAAGCTGTTGGCTCAGCCAGCAAGGGCCAAAAGCAATCCAGGCCAAAGCTGTGTTCTCTGCTGAGGTGTATAAATTTCTTGCACCCTTGCTCTGAGTGACACATGTGCTGTCAGTACTCTCTAGAGTGTATAGTAGATAAACTCTTTCCATTTTTCTTGAACCTCTAGGGTACAGACATGAATAGAGGTTAGGATTAAAGAAGTATCTCACTAATACATTGTGATACATACAAGCTTTAACCATACACATGTGCTTCACTCTCCACATATCTGTTCCTCTCTGTACAATCTCGTGATGCAGCTGCCTATTCCTATGTGGAACACAGGGCGACTCAAACAAATATCATACTACGTAGTTAACCTGGTTTGGGGCTTATTTCCTGGTAGACACATACCACTCACTGCTCATTGCTTCAGTTTAACACCATCAGGAAAGTATTCCATGAGCAGCTAAACATTACTGAGCTGTAGACAAATGCTAAAGCTATCCTCCATAAATAGACATTAAACCACAGGAAATTAGGTCACTATTTTTGCCACTCACATTCATACACACACACATATACACAAATTACCAAGTTACTTGTTTTCATACCTACAATTGGTTTATTCCACGTTTTCTAATTGCCTTAACCACAATCATTACAGAAAACCATTTTACTTCCAAAAGCATTATTTCAAGAAAACATATCGCCATCTACTCAGTTAGGAAATTAAAATCCTAGGACCCATCTTACTTTCTCCACCTCCATTATTTGTCATACCTAATAGACTATGTCAACACTTTCTTTGAATTATCTCTCAGCTCTATTCTCTTCTATCTTTTACATTTTGTCCTCACCTTAATCACTACTTCCTTGGATATTTCAATTGCCAGTTAGGTCTCCCTGTCTCTCTTACCACACTCTTATTTTCCACTTTCCATATTCTTGTCACAAAATTTCTAAAACTGGTCACTTCGCATTTTATTTTACCTTAGTTATCTTTGTCCCTGCCTTGGACAGTACCTGGTATATAGGAGCAACATAATAATTGTTATCCTCTAGGTAAATATTCAACAAGAAATGCTGAGCTAATGTAGATACTTTCATGAACAAGTTGAATTCACTGGTCTTGAGTAGACATTCCATTCTTTGCCCATCTACAACTTTCTGATATTAAGTTGCCAGAATCAGCCATGACTGCTCTTTCCCCTGTGAGCTGGAAATACTTCTAATGTAACCAGAAACTTCCAGGTTTCCAATGTGATATCTTAAAAGAAGTTTGCATGTAGGGACTGAGCTGGGTTATCTACTCTGCTCTAATCCTGCAGAGGCATATCCTGAATAAGCGTTGTGATTCACAAAAGATAGCAACTTGCACAGTACCATGATCCTCAAACTATGCAAACTACTACATTTCAGAATGGAGATAAAGCTCTGAGGCAGTGGGATCCTTTCATTGATTCAGCTTTTCCAACCTAGTAGGGAAGGAGCTGGGCAGTGCCATAGAGATTCCTAGGGTGAGATGATATATAAGCTTATTATACTCATTATATACCTTATTCTCATGATTCTTGTTGAGATATAATCCTGCGTAGAAATATAGAAACGTCTTGCTGGCTTTCTTTTCTTGTCAGA